TAGCGCTCTACCACTTGAGCCACAGCGCCACTTCCGGCTTTTTCCTTTTTGCTTATGTGGTGCTGAGGAATCAAACCCAGGGCCTCAGGCATGCAAAGCAAGAGCTCTACCACTGAGCCACCTTCCCAGCCCTTCATTGCTATGTTAACAGCAATTACATACCGGCCTTTTAAAGCATTAAAAAGTCTGATTCCATCTGCAGGGCCACAGATTTGGATCACATCATCTCTAGTTAGTTTCAATAAATCTGCCCCTGGAATGAATATAAGAAAATAAGTGATAAAGGCAAAGATTCTCTTCATTAATGGCTATTAAAATGCGTCTTTTACAAGGATACCTCATCACCAGCAGGTTACAGCCTATCATGGCATATAGACCCCTGTCTGCTCTAATGTCTCAGTTCTCATCCACCTAACTCCTCCACTTTACCCGATGCTTTCATCGATTTGTTGAATAAGGAAATTCTTCTTCCTTCTGAAATACCCTCCTACCATGTGACCAAGACTCCTATCACACAAGATTTACCTGACATGTTACATGTGTTCCCTAACACCAGGCCATCCCCTGAACATCTCTCTTGATATACACTTCCACTGGACCACCTATCTACTAGTGTTTAATCTTCATGTGATTTTTTTATACAAGATGATGAATCACTTCTCTGATCATCAAGTATGCCTTATTCATTTGTGTATTCCTACCACTGCTCATACACAAGTGCTAAGCAAAAGTAGATGTTGTAAATGAAATACAATATAGAGACATAAAGGGAAAAATTCAGATCACCTACAAATGTCCTTTAATAAAATATTGTGTGGAAATTACATTTGAAAAATGTTGCATGGAATAAGCATTTTAAAGCTAAAATGAGTTCAAACTAAGAGGTGCTTTTAAACTGATGAAAAAGCCAGGAGTAGTTAATAAAATTCATTTTTATCAGAAAAACACTCACTTGGGAGAATGATAGAAAGGTGATTATGATCAAGAAACACTGTACACATAAATGGACTTCTCAAACTGAAACTCCCTTATACAACCAATTGATGATCAACTAAAAAAAGGAAAGAAACACCACCCCCATCATATCAATACCAGAAGACCCTAGAATGCAAGTAAATATCCCATTCTGGGGAAAAGAAAAGGAAAGGCAAATTTCACCTGAAAAGTTGGTAAAAAGCCTTGTAAATGTAGAAAACCGGTTTCGATGCAACCACTGTTGAGCTTCCTGAGGTGTGGTTGTTGGCAAAAGGTTCTGAAAGGGAGAAAGCATATTTTTAGTTGCTAAAGAGATTCATCTGTTACCTCATTAGGTAAACTGCCAGTCAAACACACCTATAAACCCACACTCAAATAGGCCTAGTTTGTTTACAATTATTTACATCATATCAGTATCTTTCTCTAATCATGAAAGCTACCATAGAGTTTTATATTTATCTCCCTGACTAAACTATAAGCTCTTTAAATTCAATGGTACCTGTAAGAATAGCTATAAGGAAGATGAAGTGGGAAGCTCATTTAAGCAACAAGTTTGAGACCAGCATGGGGAACATCGTGACACTCCATCCCCCAATTTTTTTTTAAAAAATGTTTAAACAAAGTCTGAAAAACAAGACAAATAGAAAGCTGAGGGAGAAAAAAAAGAAACCAAAAAACTTTTAATTCAAGGTCTTGAGTTATCAATTTATATTTTAGATCCCTAGCATGACTTCTGGCTCAGAGTGAAAATTCAATAAACAAATGAGTGTATAACATTCCCTAACAATTGGGCATTTATATAGAATCACAAATAAGTGACATTCAGCTTTAGACTTACATCTGTGACTGGAGGGGGCGGCTCTGGCTGATGGTTTGGTGAACCATTTCTAAAGAAACATTTAAAATGAAGGGATGAGTCCATGACACATACTAGGGTTCATTATCTCATTCTTCATCTTCTAATTAAAGATTTAACTTAGAGATTTGAAAAAAGCTGTGCTCTCTTAAAATATTTTTTTTTTTGGGTCCGGTCGTGGGGCCTGAACTCTGGGCCTGGGCACTGTCCCTCAGCTCTTCAGCTCAAGGCTAGCGCTCTACCACTTGAG